CTCCAGCATCTGCAGTTCCTACTATCTCTAGATAAGCTCAGGTTGTTTTCTTTGGACCACACAAGTTTGAGGGGGACTTAATGGAGGTGTTCCCCTTAGACAAAGGGTCAATAACAAAGGATTATAATTTTAAAGTGAAAGGCAAGAAGTTTAGAGGGGATTTGAGGAAAGGAAGTTTCACCCAGAGGGTAGAGGGTTCTGGAATGCACTATTTGGGAGGGTAGTTGAGGCAGAAAACCTCACATTTCATATCTCTGTAACCTCCTCCAAGTCCCTACAGCCCTCCCTATATCTGTAAACTCCTCAAGGCCACTACACATCTCCTGTCTCTGTAACACCTTCTCACTCCTGCACTATTCCCTATCTCTGTAACCTTCTCAGCCCTACATCCCTCCCCATCTTTGAAACTCTATTCAGCCCTCTCTCTGTAACCTCCTCCCTATCTCCATAATCTCCTCCAGGCCCCTGCACCTTCTAGGGTCTCTGCCTTCCTCTGATTTTGAAGTCCAATTCCTAATTTTCATCCCTGTCCAACATGCAGCTATGGATTCCATTGTCTGGGCCTGGAATTGTGGGATTCCCTTCCTGAATTGGGTGCTGACTGTGGACAGTAGAGTTTCTGTGTATGTCTGCTGGCTGTCACTATCCCAGTGGTGTCTCTGTCATAACCAGAAACATGCCCGGGATCGGTGGGAATGTGTCATTCCCTCTTCCTGACATCTTGTGGCGTTTGTGGTTGGTGTGGTGACCTGGTTTGAACAGGATAAACTCTCACAGAATCATCAATCTCTCCTCAAATTTGTTTAAAAACAATTCTTCTGTTCTGAAAGCCTCCATTAAAGATGGAGAATCAAAGGAGGGTCTTAAATCCTCTGTCAAATCGGGGCAATCCTGAGCAGGAAGATCAATGTTGTTAAAGGGGTGATAGGTCACGAGAGAAGTACATCAATACTTGACAGTGGGAAAGGGGAAGCAGTCTTTGAGGGACTGAATGTCCTACTCTGTTCCTATTGCTTATGTAAATAATCGGTTCCATATCCTATGACTGTGATTAGACACACCAAAACATGTCCTCATCCTTCGGAATTGCGAATGTCTCACTCTAAATTTCAGAGAATACTTGTACCACACTGAGGACCAGGGGAATCATACTTTTTACGTTATTCACTCTTGGGATGCGTGCATCGCTCATCCTAATTGCCCCTTGAGAAGTTAGTGATTAGCTGCCTTCTTGAACTGTTGCAGTTCTGTGGATTATAGTGACACCCACAATACAATTAGGAAGTGAATTCCAGGATTTTGACCCAGCAACCGTGTAGGCAATATATTTCCGAGTCAGAATGGTGAATGGTTTGGAGGAGAACTTGCAGGGGGTGGTGTTCCCATGTATCTGCTGCGCCTGTCCTTCTAGATGGTAAACGTTGTAAGGTGCTGTCTGAGGACCCTTGGTGAATTTCTGTAGTGCATCTTGTAGATAATACACACTGCTGTTACCGAGTGTCAGTGGTGGAGGGAATGGATTTTGTGGACATGGTGCCAATCAAGTGGGTTGCTTTCTCTTGGATTGTGTCAAGCTTCTTGAGTGTTGATAAACTGGAAGAGGGAAGGCATATAAACACATAAGGAAGAAAGGACTAGGAGGATATGCTGGAAGAGGTAGGGAGGAAGAAGCCTCATGTACATCCAGGACACAGTAGATGGGCAGAATGGTCATTTTCTTTCTACAACCTCAATGCACAAGTTTACTGATGAATAGTGTAAGACAGAAAAGACACAGAGCCAAACAATGCCAGTAATACAGAGAAAACTTTATTGCCAAACAGCATTGGTGACATCAACAAGATTTAAAACATAAAATAGCTTGCTCCAAGCACTGACCACATCTTTATGGAAATCTGCCCAAAAATCAGATAATCGCATTTCTCCCCAAACATTTAAATGCAATTTTTTTTAAGGGACAAAAAAGGAACGGTTATATACTTCACTCCAGATATCTGTACAATAAAAAGCACAAGATGCATTAGAAGTCATTCAGCCAGTAAAAATCCAGGCTCACATGACTTTAACTTTTTGACACATCGAGTATACAGAGTTTTTGAGTAGGCAGAATGGGATGGAGCTGGATGAGGAGAAACCAAACACCCCGTATAGGTCCTCAATCCATTTTTACATCAGAGTTTAGCAGAAGGGATGAGATAAGGAAAATGTACATGTATGTATTCACTGTGGTCCTCCAGATAGGCACTTTTGAGACTCAGTTGAATTTTTGTTTTTGCTTTCTCAGTCGCATGAATGCATGTTGGGTAGGCCACAGGCTAATGTGATGCTCAGAGGTTGAAGGATTTTGGTTTTGCTTCTTCCTATTTTGAGGAAACCTTACTGGTTTCAAATTGGGAAACTGTCTTTGTAAAGTTGTGAGGGAGGAGGTGGATTGTTGATAAGGCTTCCCAACCTCCAGGGATAGTGGGCAGACCTTCTGCTGCAGCTAGCAAACTAAGAGAGAAATCGTAAAATCCAACTGTTGTTTTTATTCTTTTTTAATATTTCCTCTGTGCTTATGTACATTACAAGAGTCAAAGATTGGCACATGGCCAAAATGGCGGTTTGACTGACTGCCATTGTGTCAATCAATCAGGAGTGAAGGTTCAGTTTGCTGCCCAATCAGCAGCAGGGCTATATGGTGATGAATGTATTGGGCTACCAATAGGAGAAGAAGGGGAGAGGGTCATGTGACAAAAGCCCCTATGGCTGGCTGCCTGCCTGCTCTAGGATGCGTCCAATAGTGACTCCGATGAAGATGGGTTGAGAAGAACAGATTTTTAATCAGGAAGGGCACAGAGGGTTATGGGGAAAAGACAGGAAAATGGAGTTGAGGATTATCAGGTCAGCCATGATCTCACTGAATACCAGTGCAGACTCAATGGACCGAATGGCCTCCTTCTGCTCTGATTTCCTCTGGTGTTATGGATATGAAGAAAATGTGGCACCCATCGCCAACGTAACACAAATGATGGGGCCACCTCGGGTGGGTGGGGGGACTTGGTGGTAAAAAAGATAAATGTCAGCTGGAGAGATTCCTACCACTGGTCAGTGGACTTAGTTGAAGCTTATGATTTAAGACTCACTGGGTGAGTAAACTGGAGGCGGTTCTGGCATAGTGATAATGTCACTGGACTACAAATCCAGAACTCCAGGCTAATGTTATGGGAGAATCCCAGTTGATAAAATCTGAAATCAACATAATTTTGGAATTAAAAAGTATGCTTCACATTGACGAATGTTGTAAATATCCATCTGGTGTACTAATGTCCTTTAGGGAAGGAAATCTTAACTGGTCTACACATGACTCCAGACCCACAGAGATGTGGTAGACTCTTAAGTGCCCTCGGGGCAATTAGAGATGGGCAGTAAATGCTAAGCTCAGCTAGCAACACACACATCCCATAAATGGATTTTGAAATGAGCAGTAGCAGCATAGATGATTTTAAGACTACTTCTGTCGTGAGTGATCAAAACCTTTCAGAAAGAGGCAAAGAAGGCACCGTGGAAAGCACTGTAGGTAAAACAGCACCATCATGGACGCAGTGTCTTACATCGGGAGGTTAGCTTGAGTTCCCAACAGCAGTCTGTTCCTGTGAACTTTATGGAGCTCGTGTACACAAGCTGATATAAAATCAGCTGGTATTGGTGGTATAGTACAACATACTGTTGTGCCCTTGCTCTGGGGAGGGATGGTATGGAGGTGAATCAGCCGGGGTAAACTCCCCAGTCGACAGTTTCAACACCGGTTAGAAGCATGGAAACATGTGAAAGACGCTTCAAAATCTGGAGAGACTCCCCCCATCGTGGGCAAACTGCTCATCAAAACCCAATGCCCACTTTCAACATGAGGAGCAGTCATCTGGTGATAGGTAATGGGGGGCTGGCGCTCATTTAAATCTGTAGCCCAGAAAGAGACAATACTTTGAGCAAAGGAGGTGAACATGGATGAGCAGTGTCCGAATGGGATTGAGTAATGATGGGAATAGGTGCCAACAAACAACCTAAATGCTCTTCAGCTACATCACTGGTTAGATTAACCCGGCAATTAAATGTACACTGGTAAAACTAACAGTCTCTATTCCAAAAAAACATGATTAGGTTTAGAAGGTGATAGTTGATAAATGCCATTGCCTCCAACTATGGGGCTATTGGCTGCCAATTGATGGGGAGGCTGTCGTGCAATGTTATTGTCATCGGACCCAGTTAATCCAGAACCCCAGGCTAATGTTTGAATCCTACCATGGCAGATGATGAAATTTGAATTCACTAAACATCAGGAATGAAGTCAGGCTAATGGCAATCCTTGTTAATTGTTGTAAATATCACAATCAAGTTCACTGATGTCCTTCAAGGAAGGAAGTCTATCATCCTAACCTGGTGTGGCCTACATGTGACTCCAGAGCACGGCAATATGGTTGACTCTTAACTGCCCTCTGGGCAATTAGGGATGGCCTAGCCCAGTACATCAGAGCTACCATGATCTCATTGAGTGGCTGCAGAGAATGTTAATGGACAACCAGGATAAGCCCTTTGATGTAATGCATCCCACGTAGCTGCCATTTAGATATTTTGCCAATAAATACTCCTAGCACAGTTACAAAAAAAAAAATCGAAACTTAAACAAATTACTGGAGAAACTCAGCAGGTCTGGCAGCATCTGTGAAGATAGAAACAGAGCTAACATTTTGAGTTTAGTTTCTTCAGAACCTTCTGAAGAAGGGTCACTGGGTTTGAAATGTTATAACTCTGTTTCTCTCTCCACTGATGCTGCCAGATCTGCTGAGTTTCTCCAGCAATTTCTGTTTTTGTTTCAGATCTTCAGCATTCACAGTTCTTTAGTTTACTAAAAGTCGATTTAGCTGTGGCAAAATAAAAGAGCTTCAGGTGGATGGCATTAATCCTTCATAAAAACAGCCTCTGCTGTGTTTACATCCTTCTACCATGTCTTCCTGCTAACTAGGCACTAACTCAGTGGCTCCTGGGTATAATACTGCGTCCAAAGGACCAGGAGTCGGTCATTCATTTCCACAAATCTGCTCCCCTGTAACGATTGGCAAAAAAAATCAGGGCGGCTTGAAAAGAAGGGATTCATTTAATTATTCAACTTAACATTTATTGATTGTGTGAATATATAGGAATATCGGGGTAAAAGGGATCACTGTCAACCATCATTCAATCAGCTGAGACTCTGCTGATTAACCAATCAGTAAGGGAATCAGGGTGTTGCAAGGATGAACATGCTGGGTGACCAATGGCAGGAAAGTACAACATTTGGAGGTCATTTTATGGTGAAACTGCCAAGAATACAGCCGAGTGTTGGCAACACTTGCTGTAGGTCCCTTTGGTTGTGGCGAGAACCCGCTGCCCAGCGGAAAAGCGCACAGTGCTGCTCTTTATGAAACCCTAACACACACACACACACACGCACGCACGCGCACGCACACACACACACGCACAGACACACACACACAGACACACACACACGCACGCACACGCACGCACGCACAGACACACACGCAGACACACACACGCACACACACACAGACAGACAGACAGACAGACACGCACACGCACGCACGCACACTCCAAGCACCCCTTGGTAGGGGGGTCTGATTCTGTGTACAGGGTGCATGATGCCAAGATGGCACTGGCTGGTGAAGTCACTGGGTGCTGGTGAAGTTTGAGCTGGTAACTGAAGCAGGCCCTTGCCAGTCCAGGCAAGCGGCCATCTTCGTCCGAGAAAAGCTGGATTCAGAAGGCACCAGGAGTGTCACCTCTTCAGCACTGCATCTCTTACAGATTCTCTTGTGATTGGTTGCAGATGGTAGGAGAGGGAGGGCATGAGTTCTAAAGTTCAAACTGATCGATTTGGCACCTGTTCTCCCTATACACAAAAGGCGTAACAAGCCGACTGCAGCTGATTTAACAGGCAACGTTAAAGAAAAGCATCAAAGACAGTCACAACGGCGACATTCTTGAGTTAGGCAAGGGTAGTTTGCAAAACATTCAGCTGTTGTAGTGTGGGTGGTGTTGGGTCATTTCTCTACTTCAAATGGCATGGCTTCCTGCACATGTCCCTCCACATTGTTATCTCAGCCTGTAACCAGGCGCAGAGGAATCAACAAAGGAAGCTGGTCCAGTTCCCGACTGATGGGTCATTTGTCACTTTGAAGATTGGCGAGGCCACTTTATTTATTCTCACTACCTTCCCTCCACAACCCCTCACACTCCTCCAATCATCCACTTCTCCTCTTCCAAGAGGCAGTTCAAAACAGGAAGTGGGTAAGTCTGTGACACACAATATCCTGATGTACAGGGTTAAAGTAATACGTTATTTGTGAAGTCCAGCTCCTGAGGTGAGTTGGCTGTAGTTTGAAATGGCTGAAGACTGTTCCTTGGGGGTAAGTGTGGGTCAAATGAGGTTTGTTTGGTTGGTTGAGGGTGAGGGGACGTAGGTGAGAGTGGTTGCTCGGCTGAAGAATGTTCCTTCAGTGCTTCAGAAAGCAAGGGAGCGGCCCATATCAACAATCTGAAGGAGAAGAAGAACAACAAATTTAGACAGGGCCTTAACTTGTTACCATGGCAATAGGCTTGCCAATTGTAGCAGAAACCACTGCCCTAGCAAAATAGCATCATGCCAGTCAACAATGGGTATCTGATTGATTAACCAAACAATGTTTGTTAAGATAATGATATTGTGAACTGTGTCCGAGCACGAGCATCAGCTACGCCTCAGGCTGCAGCCCAGAAGTTAGCTAGGTACAGCTGGCCCCTCTTTTTACACATCGATATGATTGAAGTCTTGCCCACTTCTGAAGGCAATCTAATTTTAAAGCAAGCCAAACATAAAACAAATTAACAGCGCAGATTTCAAAGTCAGATCCCATTCATCAAACTGAGGTGGTGGTGTAGTGATAATGTCACTGGGCTAGTAATCCGGGCTAATACTCTGAGGTTGGGGGGAAGTGAATGGTGTAATTTAAATACAACTAATAAAATTTGGAATTGAAGTTAGTCTCAATGATGATGACATTTGTCATCAATGTCACTAATGCCCTTCAAGAAAGGAAATCTACTCTAACTCCACAGCAACATGGTTGGCTTTTCATGGCCCGGCAAGGGGAATTTCCTTCTTTAAGGAGCATGAGTGAACTAGATGAGTTTTAGCAATGGATCAATGTTAGTTTGATGGTCACCACTGCTGATGGCTTAATTTATACTTGATATTAAATTTCAATTACATCAGCTGGTAAGGTGGGATTTGAACTCCTGCACCACGAGATTACTAACCCAGTAACATTGCCAATACACTACTGTTCTCCAGGCCCAACCTCCTCTCTCTTTGTCAAGCTCCACTGGGCACCTATAGAATGGATTACCAACTCTCCAACCATTGAAAACAGTCTCAAATTTCATAAAATTCCATCAAGCTTCTTTGTTCTAAGGGCAACCTTCCTAGCTTTTCTGTAATCCCTCATTCCTGAAGCAATTCTAGTATATCACTTCTGAACCCGCAACAAGGCCTTCACAACAGTCTGGTGCCCAGAATTGGGAACCACAGTCTCAATAGGATTCAATAATTTTAGATATGCTCAGCAAAACTTCTTTGTACTCTCCGCCACTGTTTATGAAGCAATTGATAGCTTAGTGATATACTTTATAACCATGGTTTTGCCAGACAATTAAACACTACTTGGTTGTTCATCTTATGCAAACAGGTTCCCTTCTTTGAACATGACCCTACATCAAAACAATTATGTTAAAAAGCTACTTCTTTGGCTTTCAAGGGTTCCTGTTTTATTCTCATGCACTTATTTATTCACTTATGCAGTCAGGTTGTAACAATTTCTTTTGAATTGTTACACAGGGTATTTGGATTCACACAAAAGCAGAATTAGAAGAATTCATCAGGATTCTTAATAATTATCAATCCTCCATTAAACTTAAAAGCCACAACACACAAGGAAATAATTAATTTCCTAGATAATACAGTATTTAATTGGCACAAGATAATAGACCAAAGTTAGGGAAAAAAGTCTTTTTTAAAAAAAAACTGATAGACACTTCTACATTTAAAAAAATCCATCTCCTAAACCAACCTTCCACGGACTGGCGAGGTCACAGCTCATGCATTTCCATGATACACCCACAAACCTGGAACATTTTAACATTTTTAATGCACCTCAGAATTCAATCTCAGATTTAAATTTAATAATTGATACAGTGTTCATTAGAATAACATTGTAGGATCAGTTGGGAAACTAACATTTCATGATTGAATATAATCATATATTCAAAGTACCTTCACTGATTCATTTGGTTATTACTAAACCAATCATAACTTTTAGTTTCCTGACTAATCCGACAGCATTTATGACAATTTTTTTCTATCTATTGTAACTTCTGAACTTATGCAGCCTTAAGCTAGAGATTCCACATTCGCCTTCAATAGTTATCTCAATAGTTCTCAAGTTTTCCTGGCTCTCAGGTGGTTCAGCATTGCTTTGTTGAAGGGTTTGAAATTGTTCTTTCTCCTTTGCAGGCCCCTTCCTTCTCCCTCCTTTCTCCCCTTTAAAACCTCCCCCTTCTGCAAACCCCCCAACCCTGGCACGGTGGGGGACAGCGAACACCAGACCTGGCCAATGGCAAACCCTCCCCCATGGAAGCTCATGGAATGCCGAACCCCTCCCTCTCATGTCCATAAACCCGCACTAAATTTAACTGTATTCACCTCGATTTCCTTCAACACCTTGTTAGTTGTATAAAGTGTAAAAGTTATAAAAAACCCAAACATCTTTGATTGGGGCGGGGGGGGAGGGATTTTCAAGAATCATTCAATCCAGTTACACAGGCCTCTGATCCCTTTGCAGATGTCTGTAGCATTGATCAATGGAAGGAAGGCTGGATCAGTGAGAGATCCCATGAGGAGATTCCCCAGAATGGATCAACCCGAGTGTCGGAACTCCCAATACTGGACAAAACACAGACGTGGGCATGACAGTGACCTCAGCAGAACCATTTTGGGCTATTGGGACTGACACCTTTTTTGGATCTTAATATGACTGGGGTTTAAAGCAGGTATTGCCTCAGGTCGAAGAATCTGGTGCTGCAGACTTGACGGGCAGAAGGGCCTCCTCTGTACTGTATGATTCTATGAGCGTTTTCTTAGCTACAACTTCAAACTATGTCATGCCCCCTTGACCCACAGTACAATCGCAGGACGTGACTGGATGAAAATAGACACCAAGCCCTGTAAGGAGGACTATCCCAGATGAGTGAAGAAATATTTTCTGAGGAGGGTCTTGAAGAATGAGGAGACAGGGGAAAAGCAATGGGAATGCTCAAGTGGTTGGAATTATAGGAGGTAAGAGAGATAGGTAGGGCTGGAGGAGGTTACAGAGATAAAGATGTTGGGGCTGGAGGAGGTTACAGAGATAGGAGGAGTGTAGGGGGCTGGAGGGGGTTACAGAGTTAGGGTGGGGTTTAGACTAGGGGTTGTTACGGAGATTGGGAGAGGGGTGTAGGGGATGAAGGAGGGTATGGAGATGGGGAGGGGTGTAGGGACTGCAGGAAGTTAAACAGTTAAGGCGGGATGTAGGGTATAGAGATAGGGAGGGGTGTGGGGCTGGAGAAGGTTAAAGAGATAAAGATGTTGAAGCTGGAGGAGGTTACAGAATTAGGGAGGGTATAGGGTCTAGAGGGGATTACAGAGATAGGGAGGGTGTAGACTGGGGTAGTTACAGAGCTAAGGCGGGGTTGTAGGGTCTGGAGGAGAGTACTGAAATAGGGAGGGGATGAGGCCCCGGAGTGATTTGAAGAAAAGAATGAGAGGTTTTGAAGTAGAGTTGCACTAACATGAAAGGACCAAATGGATGACAGTTCCTCTCTTGTTTTGACAGGTTTTCTGCAGTAACACGTTACCAAGTTGTAAATGTCCTTGTATTGATTTAATTTTCAGGCTCTGTATGCTGCCTCAGCCCTCAGTTCTCTGGCACAAGCTTGCGACCAGCATTTATTAATTAAAATCTGGTACACCATGTACTGTCAGCTTCCCCAGTCAAATTGGGCCATTGTCCAGTACATTGACCATGTCTTCCCAGCAGCTGACAAACACCATCACTAGCCTCTCATTCTTCACATCTTCAGCCCCAAACTATAATCCAAAAACAATTCAGCAGGAATTATGAAATATTATTCTAATGGAACCGCATTCCGTCTACACTGATGTCCTGGTCTGCAGCTGCTTTCTAAAGAAAATACTTTAACATGATTTGAGCAAATGTTCTTTTCAGGGAAACACACACGCACACAAACTCTCTCATATACGCACAAACTCACTAACACACAGTCACACATAAACTCTCACATGCACACAGACTCACACAAACTCACACACAGACACGTGCACAAACACACACAGACTCACCCAAGCACATATGTATGCAGTGTACACACATACATCCATACAATAATGTACATACCTACACAACATACATACATAGGCAGGCACACAGACATACATGCACACAGATGCACATTCATACTCACACAGACACAAACACACACACAGGTGCACACATACATATGCTCACACGCAGGTGCACAAACACACACATGTACATTCACAGGCCATCACACAGATATACATTCACATACACACATAAATGTGCATTAACGTGTAATGAGCTTCTTATTGTAATATTGTTGGGTAAGTATCTGGTCGAGGGTAGCCCACCCTCTGCTCATTACAACTGTGCAAAACGTTATAACTTAAGTCTACCTGAAGTCAAGAAAAGTGCTATATAAATGCAAGTCTTTCTTTTCCAACATCCCACTACCAAGAAAGTAACAGGCCATTCAGCCTATCTGCTCTGTTCTGGTGTCTGCTCTAAACAAGCCTCCTCCCCCTCTTAGCAAATCCGCCTATTCCTTTCTCCCTGTGTTTATTCAGCTTCAATGTATCGAGACCCACGTTCTCCCCACTCCCTGTGGGATTGAGACCCACGTTCTCCCCACTCCCTGCGGGATCGAGACCCATGTTCTCCCCACTCCCTGCGGGATCGAGACCCACATTCTTGCCACTCCCTGTGGGATCGAGACCCACATTCTCCCCACTCCCTGTGGGATTGAATCCCACTTTCTCCCCACTCTATGGGTGAAGGCATTTGTCCTGAATTTCCAATGGGATTTATTAGGGACTGTCTGAGATTGATGGATTTGACCCAGCGACAGTGAATAGGATGGGGTCTCGTTTTAAATGCCCCATCCAAAACCCTGGCTCTAAAAGTGAACTCTGGCATTGGGAATGCATTCTGCCTTCAAGTCCTGATTTCAAGCACGACTGACATTAAAAATAGGCACTGCGCTGAAAGAGATAGAAGTTTATATATAAATCCATCAAGTATATCCCACCCCACCAAAGCTAAATCTGTACGTGATTCATGGAAAGTGGGGCCTGCAGTTAAACGGACAGCGATACACTTGCCACATGAATGAAACACTATCTGACACAAGGCCCTGAATTATGGG